AGGCAGCTGGAAGATGTATAACATAAGTACTGAGCAAGTGGAACCTTGATTGTGATGAAGAGAAATAATGATGGCAGGGTTATGGCTTTATCTGAATTTAAGCCCATGATTCGTCGACGTGGAAACCCAACAAAATGACAACTGTTAATTATGACTCACAGGGGTATAATTTAAAATGCGCGTCCCACAAGTACTTTAGAGCGCCTTGGTTTAAGGCACTTGACCTTGTCAGTTTTGGCATAATTTTTTACTATGTTCCAAATGTTCCCCAACGATAATTTGTGGTCAAATATAATGTCTTAACTGTGTACTTCCAAGCATCTGCATTTATTTTAAAAGGAATAAAGAGAAATATTAAAATGTGTTCCCTCAAATTCAAGATTATTTGCATATGTGAAATTATGATTCAATGTGTTAAAGTTCTCGGAGCATTAAATTATTTAACAAACTAGCATTAGAAACAGGAGTTCATCCAGTCATTTGAACTCTGCAATTTTCAAGCTTTGACTTTAAAATTGGGAAATTATCCAAAAAATGGCAAGCATTATGTCTATAAGTATATTTATTTGCCAAAATTTATTAATAAAATATTCTTAGAAATTTTAAAATGACGCCGATTAATGAAAATAAAAAGTTAAATCGAATAAACAAAAAATTAATCTTAAATGTCAAATTCGATTAAGGGGGTACTACGTTCAGTTAGTTAGTTAATAATTACAAAATGCTTACTTACAATTGACAACCATAGGTAAAGATTTGCTGCTGTGTATTTCCAACGATTTTATATCGGTGGCGGAATTAATAGACTAAGCGTGAATCTAGACAGAATAGCATGATCAGGTTAACTTTTTTAATGTCGCTTATTCGTATTTTCTTGCATAGATTACAATGACTGTTCTAATAAAACTTGCAGAGGCTGCTTCGAAAAACCCTTGACTAAATCTGAACAATTCTTTCTGAAAGAAACCTCTTGTATAAACTAGTTTACAAAGTGACCTAAGGTATCTCACAAATATTTATTTAATTCATATGGCAGGCGTATTGATAGTCATCATTAGCCATTTAGTTGACTTCGGGCCTCATAGAGGGAAGGTTCATCAAAGTAGCAGAATGTCGAGGGGTGAAGAACAGAAGAGCGATTCACATATGTAAAAGAGACAGACAGACACAAAGGTAGAGTAAAAGGTAAGGTGAGTGCTGTGGAAGTTGTGGAATATGGCATACAGTGGGGTGATGGTAGTTTGAAGTCAGAAATATGACATACAGTGGGGTCATGGTAGTTTGAAGTCAGAGGTCAACTGCCGGTTTATAGACTTTTTGCCGTGTTAGGGTTAGATCAACTACGAATAATAGACTGTTTTTGCCGTATGAGTATACATTGCCCAGGATGCACCACGTGGAGGTAAGTCTATCGCGCACCCCATCTCACAAATATTGAGGAAGCAGGACGCATGATGTTTACTCAAAATTATGATCAGGGCGAATATGATTAAAAAACGACTATACTTAACGCAAATTGGGAGTATATTTTAATAGTGGATTAGCTGAGAAGGCGACTGTACCCATAACACAACTACCAGATTCCTCAATATCATACGAATTTTCTTTGATTCAGCCATGTTCGTTTTGTGCCCATCTCAAAATTATGTTTTTTTATAAAATCATTTATCTTAACTAATAAGGTATTCTAATGCGGAGTAATTATAAAAATTAGAAATTGTAACGAATTATTGAAGAGCAAAGAACGAAAGGATATACTAGATTTTTACCTTCTTATATTTATTTAATATATTTTTCATTTACTATGTCACAAGTATCTAACTCTTGGGCTAAATAGAAACATTTATTTTCATTAAAAATTTCCTCTTTTGACAATTCCATTTATAAATATTTAATTTTAAGTGAATTTTTAAATGATGAAAGTTTCATTTATATTGCTGCATGTATCAGTGAGAACACTTCCTGGCAAACGTAAGAAAAATAAAATAGATTTAGAAATTGACATAAATAAGAATTTTAACTTGATATGAATAGCCAATTGTTAGAAAATCTCCAGTTGGTCGTCTCTCTTTCACGTGCTACCCTCTTTTATCAACATTTCAATGGAAGTAGGTTTCAAGTGTACCTGTCAACCAAGCCGAACCCTCATTATCGATCACACTCTCCCTCTAGTAATTATGCTTACATTAAACAGAAGTAATTTCCTTTTGGTCATCATTCTGAGCTCAGAATCGAAAAGAAAAAGGCAAAATTTTGTAAAAGAACTTCCAAATTGAAAAATGAAATGAAAAACTCCTCGTTTCTCTTCCCTCGTAAAAGTGAAATGGGAATAAAGCGCGCGAAATTGGCCTAAAGTTTATTTCAGACACTCAGTTGACCAACCACTCCGCTTGGTGCGAATGTCATCAATTGCTTTCGAAGGATTGGAGAGAAATATAACAGAGAATTAAAATATTATTTAAGAGGAAATGTCTAGTATTCATTTCAGAAGAAGAACAATGCCACAGAAATCGAATATCGAGAGACAAAATCGATTTAATGGAAAGAACAAGATATTCTAAGGGGACGATAATTGAAACTTGGAATTGATATTTATTTTAAATTTCCTAGCAATTCTCAGATAGCTTTTATTGTTCTCCATTTTAGTTTTCTTATACCAAAAGGGAATTAGTAACGGGAACTTACTTCAAGTCGACATTTATTTTTCTCTTTCCAAATAATATTTTCATGATTAATGACGACTCAAGAGACTGAACAATTATAATGCTGCATAATTTGAAAATAAATGGCATTTTAAATAATTAACAAAAAAACTAGCTTTACGTGAATAATTAGGAGTGAGTGCGTGAACAAATAAGTTTTAATATATTTAATTGAAGGAATAAATAATTTATACGCCGTTTCAGCAGCCATTGTCCGCTAAAAGCTTCAAATTTCAATTTATCCCATTTGTTCGCATGAAATGCGTAAAGTTATTGGACCACTCTCAATAGTGCTCTATGGCTTGGGGAAGGGAGTTTTGTCCCTTCTCATTGCTTAGCGAATAATGCACTTCACATTGCGTGAAAATTGACCACTATTATGCACGTGGTGGAAATGGAGTGTCATGGATCGAAGAAAAAATTTTATTTTATTAACAAAATACGAAGAAGAAAAAAAACAGTAAATTTTCCTCTCTCTCTCTCTCACCCCCCTCCCCCTCCCCCCACTCTCCTTGAAAAATAAAATGCTTATTGTGGAGGCAAAAGTTTTCAATAATTCGAAAGCCAAAAGAATGAGTAATTTTTTGCTATTTTTAACTGTTCATTGTTATTTATTACTTAAACATAATAAAGTTTGTCCTTATTATTAACAAATAGGGGTGTGCGATAGACTTATCACCACGTGGTACACCCTGGGCAACGCATACTCATACGGCAAAAAGTCTATTAATCAACAGTTGACCTCTCACTTCAAACTACCAAGACCCCACTGCATTACATATTCGACTAATTTCACAGAACTCACCTCACCTTTTTTCTACCTATGTGTCTATCTGTCTCTTTTACGTATGTGAATCATTATTCTGTCCCCCCTCTCGACTTTTTGGCACTTTGACGTTCCTCCTCCTTTCTGTGAAGCCCGAAGTTAACTAAAGGGCTAATGATACCTATCATAACGCCTGCCATTTGAATTCATTATTAACATATAAATATCTAAAAGCATGGAATGGAATTATTTAATTACCATAAGTAGGAGGTTAGAGAATATAAGTAGCTTATTTAGCACTATGTTCTATTTCTTCTAAATGGATATTGTTTACTAAGTGTTTTCTAATTTCAAAGTTCGAGTTTCAAAATTTAATCTCTCAGTTTCTGAGCGATTTCTGAGCCCGAGATGTTTAAAGCTCTCTGATTATTTGACTAAAGTAAGTGATTTGTCTTGTAATCTCGGTGAAATGGTCTTTCCAGAAAGCCTGTTGGATTTACTGAACCTTATAAGCTTTTCTAAAATAAAGTGATGTGCTATGATAGTCATTTCAAACCTTTATTTACTGCGGCTTTTGCAATAATGATGGTTGAAAATTGCAATTTTGAAATAGCGGCAGAAAAAGAATGACGAATCGTAGACACACGAGAGGGTAGTAATCAGAAAATTTCGGCAACCAATTTTTATTCTATTTTAGAGAGAATATATGCTTGGGTTTATTTGACAGTCTGCCAAAACTTTTGACCGTTCCTTTAAAATTGTGCAAAATAAAAACATTAAAAAGGCTTTACTATAAACTAAGTTTAGGCCCTAAACGATCATCTAACTTAAATAAGTTATTTTCCGTGAAATCTAGAAACCCTCAGTTAAAATCAATTTACTTCCTCCTTAATTTTGTCCAATAAATTTTAATTTTGAAATATATTTGTAGGAAACTTTGTAGCAACAATCAAGATGAAAATAACTTATTCACTGATAATTTTTTGTATGTTTGCTTGATTGAGCGCAATAAATTTTTGATCAATATCTTAACTTATCTCGGCACAAGACCACAACATCAATTATTTCATAAATATGTGAATAAACTTTTAAAACGCAAATCTTCCTGTTTTTTTCAAGATTACTACATGAAAGCCACAGGGAAACAAATCCAGTTTCAACAATTCTACTGAGGAATAGGGAGTAGGACCGCAACGTTCCTGAGAACTATTTAACCCCAATTTTTAACACTTTCCCATTTTAACTCCTCCTCTTCCTTACCTATTTTCCAGACTCGCAACTCCTATTCTCGTAGTATGTAAATTGTCTGGCACAGCCAACGCCCAGAACTAACAACCAATCAGATGACTCGTGAGTGAGAGCCAATCGGAGGTGAGTGATTGTGCGTACGTTTGTGATGGTGCAAAACGAATACCTCCCGGTTCATAGTCGCTTGTTCATTCGTTCCAGGGATTTTTAGTATGTCGACGGATTGACAGTTCTTTCCTCAAGGAGGATTATCCTTCCGGAAGTTGTAATCTACGTGTATCAGCATGGCTAATAAAGGAACTATTCAGGACCTTGATGAGTGGCTCCTTAAGCTGGACAATCTGCAACGGGTAAATTAATTGCAATAGGATACTAATTATCCATTTATTCTAAAATAGAAAAATATTAAGCTTTTGAATAAGCATATGCGAATTTTTATAAAATTACAATTTCTTACTTGAAAAAACAATTGCAATAAAGGATTTCCAGCCAGTTTTGCAGACGAAAAGCTTGAGGATCTTTAAATGCTTAAAGTTTATTATGATCAATCATTTCTTGTCTATTATGATAAAAGATTCAAATGCTGACAGAGATGAGATATCTTTTTCTGAGGGGAATTTTATAAGCCCAAATAATTTAAGATGTGAAAATATAGCTATGTATCTGACAGATCCACATTGAAACATCGATTTCGCACAATAAAAAAAATAGTTGATCCAATCCGTTTTGGATATGGGCTTATTATTTCGTGTCTGGAAAGCGCTTGTGTCCATAAAATATAAGATTAGAGGACCGGTGTTCAACATTTCAATTGACGGAAGGATCAGATGATACATTATGCTTTCAATAAATAACCCACTTTTCGATGATTTTTGACAGACGTAACATGCTGATGATTAAAGGGAACAACATTTCTGTACCTTTATCTAAGACTCGATATTAGGGGTTTTATGAGAATGCCACATTATTTACTACAACATGAATTTTTTCTAAATCAAGTAACTAATTCGATTAGCTGAATTGTCTATCTGATAGCAATTGGTAAACAGAATAATACAAATGTTTCTCATGGTTTACAATTGATCAATCTTCCGCAGTTCGATGGTTTTGTTACTAAATTCATAAATTGGACAATATGATGGGGAGAATGGTGGAAAGTATTTTTCATGCCATTGTTAATGTACCTCATTACTATTACTTTGTCCTCTCTATGTGTTTCTATTAAAACTTGCTTTTTGTCTAAACGAATTTTTTGAAAATTGAAAGTTACATTTCTTTACTACTAGCACTGAGGGCAGCTCATTATTCAGCTAAATCAGGGGTTTGGACTTTAGAGCTTATTTAGAGATTGGAAAGGGCAACCGCACTACTTAGTGCGATGATATAATAGTTTTTTTATGAGAACGGTATCAATCATTGGAACCGATTGTTATTTCTTAAGAAGTTTGCTTCAAGGAAATCACGCCATATTAGTTTAATTAGTGAAGAAAGTTGTGCCCTTTGAATATTGCGCAAATTTTCAAGACTAAAGCTGGCCAATGTTAGCACGGAATTTAAAACAGAAACGTTTTAGCCCATTAAATATCTTTTCGTTTCTTCTCTGATTATTAGTTGGTGTAATCGACAAGCTGTCCTTTAAAGTAGATAGCGAAATTTTTCATTTCCCCAGAGACTTATTATCAGAAGAGACAAATATTTCCTCAAATAAATAACTTAACTCATATTTGAAATGCCATATTTTAATCATAAGGGTTCATTATTTACTATTTAGTCTTTCCGCTTCCGATAATCGTTAGGGTACATTTAAAATTACTTTCATGTAATAAGTATTTTTAGTTCATCATGGGAACTAGGACTTGTGAAAGTTAAGTAGTTGATTAATTTAAATCTATTGATTTAAAATACTTGCAAAAAAATTATTTATATTTATCGATTGAAACCTGTTCTGAAAAATATTTCCATTACTAAATTTGAGTGTTAGATTAAGCCTTATATATATATATATAGAAGTAGCCAAGGGCATAATAAATTTTACTTAAGTATTTATTAATCTGAAACACAGAGCGAATTGGCAATATCGGAGGAAATGCCGAATTACAGGAGAAAAGAAGAATGTCGGATGAAAGACTTATGCAAAAATGAAATAAACCAAAAGTGGTAAATCGACAAAAGGCACAAAATTACGATTTGGCTAAGAAACAAATTTTCTTCGAGTTTTTGCAGTTATTTTAAGTTGTTCTTATTGGTCACGTCTGAGTGGGGTATTCCACTCAGATAAACGGGCTCATTGAATTGAGTTCAGATGGCAAGGTTTATGCATTCGGTTGTGTTAATTAGATCATTCAAAATACATTTATTAATTAAAAAAGAAATTTAAAATATTACGATCCATGCAATCAAAGAGGCGAAAGTTTTTTTATTTAAGAGGTATATGGATGAAGGCGGAGCCAAAACCTATATCGGAAAATCGATTTCACGGAACTAATTAAAAATGATTAAATTAAAGTGTGATTAAATTTTCATTTGTAAAATGACCAATTGATACAACTTTCCGAATTCGCCTTGAATCTTCACTCCAAACAAAACTGCTTTTTCAGTCATCCTATTTTTCAACAAAGGTATCTTTCGATTAGAGATTTTGCCCAAATATTATAAAAGATGATGTCGAAAAGCACTACATTTTCACCAGTTTATTATCCTTTCTGATTGAATAATTAAACTATTGTGATTCATTGAGGCAACTAGTTTACATACTCTGGTTCACAAGCATTCTGACAAAGTAATTCCGTTTCGCAGTTCAAAAAAGCATTGCTTGAATTTAAACATAAAGGTGGTTGATAAATAATGTTGCCCATCAAATGAAAGTATTAGGGAATAATAGAAATATCTTGAGTTCTTTCATAGTTATTTACGCCATCGAATTTACTAGAGGAACGAATTTCCGTCTTTAATTTTCTGACGCATTAAAAAGTCTAATTCATCTTCAAGCTCAATTTAATTTAAATTATTTTAAATTAGTAGAAACTGGGATTTGTTAGCTTACACGAGATCGTATTACAACAATTTGTAAACATTTAAACGCAACTAATTCCCAACAGTAGTATTTTAACTTTCAGGAAACTATATAAAAAAAGACACTTTCAGAAATAAAAATGGCCTTCTTTCTTTACATTTTAAAGGCTATTTTTGCAAAAAAATCATTTTTTTTCTTTTGACGAATAAAGTGCATACTAAACTCTAATTGCACCTTATTTCAAGCTGATCTCCTAATCACCATCGAGATGATTTGGCATTGGTTTCATGCTAACGAACACTGTTATTACTGTGTGAAATTGCAAAATAAATACATGCAAACTTTGGTTATGGATAAATATTTAAAATTAGCATAAGATAAAAAGCCAAATTTTGGCATTAAGGTAGGCAGAGGTTTTCCTTACCTACAAGTGAACTAATTTTCGGTTAGAATTTTCTTCCTTTCTCTCACACATAATATATCCAGATCAATCTTGCTGTGCACATTGACCATAGCATTATATATTTGCTAATCCTTTCCTAGTTGATATGACGGCTTAAGCTAAATACTACTAGTCATTTGCATGCATTGTGGTTTTGGAAACCTTTAGTGTTTTTCTCTTCAGGCTCTAAAGTCTTGTTCTTCGAGTCAACCAAGACGTCTTCAATCCCCACTAGTTCTTCCTAGAGAACAATCAGTTGACGGAATGCTTTTCCAACCAGTAAGAAGTGATAGACCCCTTCCAGCAATTCACTATCATCAGCCTCAAACCCCACCCACAGTCTCTCCTCAACGAAGATGCCCCCAACCACCCGTAAGGAAGGTTTTTCCAAGTGCCACTGATCCACCTCAAAGGAAGTTTGGACCCTCCGTATCTCCTGTGCATCATTACTTTCCTGGAGAACAATTTCCAATGCCAAATAGGCATTCAAATGGAAATATTGATTTTGAACAGAACGGAAATAATACCCAGTTGCAACAAAATCAGCAAAATTTGCAGCAACAGCCGAAACCCAAATCTGTTCGATGGTCATCAGAGCCTAGTTAGTATAGTTAATTTAATAAATATGCAATTTTGCAAAATGACTGAAATTAAGTTTGTATACCTATTAATGAAGTCTAACATGTAAACTTTTGCTATATTATGAAGAGAAATAGGACTGATTGAACTGTTTAAAATTGTGAAAAAAAACTATTTGGCTGTAGGTAAATGAAATTGCTTAAACCTGCGCTCTAAGATAACTATACTTCATATCATTGCAAACTCATTTTATATCGTGTACGTATTTTAATATTTACTGAACTTTAGCTTATAGTTTGGCCTTTAATGATTTGATTTCTAAAATGAAAAAAACGGAGATTGGAGAAAATGAGAAATGTTTACCGTCAAACGTGTTTTTGCACCCTCATTCTGCTTTTATTTAGGGAGGCCAAAGGTCAACCGTCTTGTCGCCTACTCTCAAGGCAGAAAAATGTGATAATAGCAAGATTGAAAAAAGACGTTTAGGGAACCGCCATTCCACTGTGATTAGTTAGGAACTTCAATGCATAATATAAAGTAATTGC